GGCTGAAAGGGCGAGCATGTTTGGTGGGATGGGGATGCGAACCCGCGACCCGCAGATTGCGAGTCAAGCGTCCTAACCACCTGGCCATGCCGGGCCCAGCATTTAAGTTCTGACTAGCTTAACATTTCTTAAGTATAATTTAGATTTACAGCTGCTGTGAATAGTTGAATATATTTGATGAAGTTACTTTGTTTTGAAGAAAACTAATCGTTCCTCTCTCTCCCAGTGAAGAAGAAGAAAGAGTTCATTATAACCTCACACATCTAATTCATCTTTCCGTCTGACCCGAATGAAACTATTGGTAAGTTAAGAAGCGGATTAAAACTCCCGTTTTCTTTTTTATTTACCTCAAACAACAGATTCTTTGGCAAAATGTTCATACCTTGTCAGCAGTCTTCAGAGTTTCGGGGTCCACTCTCCACAAGTAGCAGGTCTCAGAGACACAATAGAGTTCGTCAGACAACGTGAAAACGTTGCCAATAGCATTGTCGGTCATGTCCCCCGGGATCAGCTGGGACAAAAACCTGTCACGAATATTGTGATATAACACCAATTTACAGATCACAGGTTGTCAAGTGTTTGTTTAAGCCCGAAGCTACACAATGGGCTACCTATGCTGTGCCTACCATATGTATAGAAACACAGATTTTAGAGTTATAAGCCTTCAGACTTACTGCTGAGTCACTGGGGGCAGGCTATCCAGTGAACCTATAAAACCTATATTAAAGCATATATTTTGAATGGGGTCTTATTCCGTTTAATGAAAATGACCGATAACAGTACATTTGCTCAACCCCCCCCCCCCTCATTATTCGTACGAATGCATTTTTATGCTTTTCTAAAAACATGTTTAAAAAACAAGACTTTGGAGAAGAGAATAAAATTGGTTACTGTAATGGTAAACAAAACCTATACCAAAAGGGTAAGGTTCTCTACTGTAACTGTAAACAAAACCTATACCAAAAGGGTAAGGTTCTCTACTGTAACGGTAAACAAAACCTATACCAAAAGGGGAAGGTTCTTTAAATCAATTACGGTATAGTTCACTCCAAAAAAAAAAACAGTTACGCTATAATTCACTCCTAAAAAAACAATTACGCTGTAATTTCACTCCTAAAAAACAATTACGCTGTAATTTCACTCCTAAAAAAACAATTACGCTGTAATTTCACTCCTAAAAAAACAATTACGCTGTAATTCACTCCTAAAAAAATACGCTATAATCTAACCCTAAAAAGTGTATTATGATACATGGTAACACACTGATAAAGTTATTCTCTTTTGTTGTGCATTTGGCTTATGTTATGTGCATTACTAGAAAATTAAATAGAAAAAAAAAAACAAAGCAGGTGCTCCCTTCTGACCTGGAGAATAATTTCTTGCAAGGATCGGGATACGACCTGGTTCCAAATTCTGTAAACACGGGTCTTTTGAGAGTACACATCTTTTCGTAAGCATCGGTCTCGAGAAACCTGGACCTGAACGTGACCTGGACAGAAAAATAATCTTGTTTGTAATATAAAGAAAAATGACACCTAGCATGTTAGGAACGAAATGATTCTTCAGGTTTAAAGTAAAATATTTATTCAAATTATCTTTCGCAAACTACATTTTTATCTGAAAGTGACCTTTTGTGACTGTGAAAACGTTGTCTTTTATCGTAAGTGAATGTTAGTGACCTATGACCTTTAAATCTAGTCTCTCATACTCAAGTGACCCTTTGTGACATCTGTGATGTGAAAACGTAGTATTTTATTGTAAGTGAATGTTAGTGACCTATGACCTTTAAATCTAGTCTCTCATACTCAAGTGACCTTTTGTGACTTCTGAGCTGTGAAAACGTAGTATTTTATCGTAAATAAATGTTAGTGAACTATGACCTTTAAAACTAGTCTCTCATACTCAAGTGACCTATGAACAGATAGAAACCACCTTGTTTTTATATTCAAGAGGCCGTTAGTGAAGTCAGATTATATTCAAGAGGCCGTTAGTGAAGTCAGAAATATGAAATTAATCTTGATTTATGTTTGAATATGTATTGATTAGGGGAGAAAAGGGTGAGCTATTCTGGGGTGGGGGTTCTTGGTCTTGCCCCCCTTGGAAAAGTTTTGTAATTTTCACTGAAAATGGTGATATCTCAAGTTGCTTTTCCATTTTTTACATATATAGTTGGAATTTAAGGTGTACAACTCACCCCAACCCAAATATCTTTTTTTCCTGTGGTCTAACCAGCATCCCCAACCCGTTAATCCCTTAGTGTGGATGGTGACTGGTTGTTTTTACATCGGTCAGTAGTTCAAAATTAGGGACCTTTGTCTCAATTACAAAATACTTTATGGTCATGTTGTTGTTTGTTTGTTTTGAATTTGACGCAAAGCTACACGAGGGCTATCTGCGCTAGCCGTCCCTAATTTAGCAGTGTAAGACTAGAGGGAAGGCAGCTAGTCATCACCACCCACCGCCAACTCTTGCGCTATTCTTTTACCAACGTATAGTGGGATTGACCGTCACATTATAGCGCCCTCACGGCTGAAAGGGCGAGCAGGTTTGGTGGGACGGGGATTCGAACTCGCAACCCTCAGATCGCTAGTCAAGTGGTCTTACCCATCTGGCGGGCTAGTATATTTGAATGTAGGAAACGCAAATTAAGAATTAGCTGTAACAAACCGGCTTGATGCTTACTTAAATATCTTATAAATTACTTGTTTTAGAGCAAAGTCACATTGGGCTATCTGCTATGTCCACCGCGGGGAATCTAACCCTAAATCTTAGCGTTGTAAGTCTGTAAAATTTAACGCTTTCCTACCGGAGACTGTTTTATCAAAACAACATTTATTACCGTTTATCATTTTTTTTTTCTTATGATGGTATAGTTGTAGCTATTCACACAGGGCCATTAATTAGCCAAAAAAAAACACAGAAGCCACACTGAAAATAATACAATAAAACAATTATTATATACGTATAGAGGGGGTTTCACACACAAAAAAGGAAAACTTCTTTAAGATGGGCCCATTTTCCCCAGATTTGAATTAAATCCTCAGCTGACTTGATTACTTTGTTAATCCAATGGCTTCTTAAGATGGTGATCTGCATTATTTCAACATGTGTAAGTTCTTTTCCACGTTAGCAACACAAGAACGGAGTGTAATTTTCAACAAGGGCTGATTGTAAGAGATTGATTAATAGGGTCCCCTGGTGGGACAGCTGTAAGTTCAAATCCCGAGTTCGATTCCGCACAGTGGACATAGCAGATAGCTCAATGTGGCTTTGCTGTAAAACAAACAAATCACCGATTAATAGGTGCTTTAGTGCCTCGAACTGTACAAAGTCGTAGTTTGCAAGAAGAACAACATCAAAGTTTTTTGTTTTTTTTAGTTAGAAGATTACCATAATTGAACAAGACCGCCATTTTTGATGTCAAAACTGTCTCCTTGTGGAATGAAACCTAATTCCTCAACGCACCTTTTAGGAACTTGTAGATGTAATTCAATAAATAACTAAAAACCTTCTAACAATTAAAGTTAGGATTAGGATAGATGTATTCTTTAACTAAGGCAGGTTTATTCTTTTAATGGGGGGGTGGGATCGCCTTAGAAATGGGCTGCCTTCAGATGTGGTAGATGCAGTAAGTCTAGAGGATTTTAAGGAAACGCTTGATAGGTATTTGAATGATAAAGGAGGGTTTTTAGTTTTTTAGTGAACTGGACGGCCTAGATGGACGAACAGGTCGTTTATTGACCTTAAATTTTGTGTTATGTGAAACCGCTTCCATTGGGTATATCCAATTTTTTGTCTAACTCCCGTATATCAAAGTTTGATGAACACTAATATAATTGTCATGTTCGTAATTGCAGTTGTTATTCTTTCGTGGGTAACCTCAAACGAGGGGGCTCAAGACTTGTCCCTGGGATTGGGTTGTCGATATCTTGGAACAATTGTCCACGAGTTGGGTCATGCTATTCTGGCGCGAGCAAAACGGATGTGATCACGACGACTACCTGATAATCTACTGGTCTAATATCATGCCTGGTAAGTGTTAACTATAGGACTAATTAACCACGTCATCAGGGTAACCAATTAGGTGAAACTTGTATACTAAATCTAACAGTAGTTAATACGACAACACTTAACCACGTCATCAGGGTAACCAGTTAGGTGAAACTTGTACTACTGTTAGATTTAGTATTAATACGACAACACTTAACCACGTCATCAGGGTAACCAATGAGGTGAAACTTGTATACTAAATCTAACAGTAGTTAATACGACAACACTTAACCACGTCATCAGGGTAACCAATTAGGTGAAACTTGTATACTAAATCTAACAGTAGTTAATACGACAACACTTAACCACGTCATCAGGGTAACCAATGAGGTGAAACTTGTATACTAAATCTAACAGTAGTTAATACGACAAGACTTGCTTTGTCATTGTTTGTTAAGTTATGTATGTTTTTTAAATATGCTGGTGGAATGTGTTAAGTCTGGAGGATTCGGTATAAAAAATATAATATATTACACTCATTTGATCGATACAGACAATGCAAAAGTTGCTTTGATAACTACAAGATAAGACTAGTTTTATAATCAATTTCGACATCAGTTAAACAATACCTTAAGAACTCTTTATTTTCAGTGATATACAAGGCCTAAAGTCTCGTGATTTTAGATGTGATGTAATATTATCTCTTGGCCATTCCTTTCTGCTGTAACAGTATATCTTAATAATAAAAAAAAGACCCGTTTCATTGTTATCATCGACAAAGAAAAAAAAACTCCCTATGTTTCAAAATGTATTTTATTGGATAAAATAACATCGACCTACAACATATAAACTTTCCAGTTTTCAAACATAACGAAACAAATACTACACAGTATTTACATATTTCAAGGCTACTAAATATTGTTGTATCCTGAATACAAGGGAGTAGCTTGTCTATACCTGATACACTGGACATTCAATAGTGTTAGAAGAAAGATCTTCCCGATATACGGTTCCGTAATAAGTAGGCCTAAAGCAGTAACATAATATATGAACATGAATAAACACAAGGCTAAAACTCTGGAATTGAATGATGCCAGAGAGTACGATATGATCTGTTAAGCCTACACGTTTTACAAATCAAAGTAAAGGTATGTCGCTTTGGATTTCAAGGACGACAACTTTTGTTTGTATGTTTAGGGTCTGCCTCTTTCTGTGCTTGCCATAGACATGCATGTAGAAAAAATATCAATGTTTATTAGATTAAAATGAAATTTTTATATTTTTGATCTGAACGTCGCCTTATGGAACAAGAGTCTAAGAGGTCAGATCGGAAATCCCAATGCGATAGCTTAGCCATCTCCAATTCACAGTTTCGCTGAATTCACTGTTATAATACCCACCCCCCAGCTGAATGTGAAGAGCGTATTAAAAAAAGATATATCGCGGCTTGAACCTCGGACCTTTCGATTTACAGCCAGACACGTTGACCACTATCTCTATACTCTGCCTCTTGGCGGAAGACAAACGTTCACGGAATACAGTTTGTCCTTCTATACATGACGTTTTTAAACCGTCCAACTATTTAGTTTTACAAACCTTTCCATTTCTGATAGTGTAGCGGTACAGGATTCCAGCTCCGTCGAACCAGTGGTTAACACGGAGAGTGTGAAAAAGTTTTAGTAATTAGACAATAAAATGGTTGTTAACGCAGAGCTTTCCAAGACCCATTTTTTTCTTCTAAATAACGGAATTTCATGGTTTAACAGAAGGACCTTAACATTTTCATCTCTTACAGGGGAAATACCCAAATGGTTGAATGGAAGTTTGTTCCGGTTAGGACCAGGAAAATTCGATCTGGATGAGGACTTTTATAACAAAAAACAAATGAAATAATAACGGTTCTTTCAATAAGAATGCGCACTCTAGGACATCTAGGTTTTTTAGGATACTAATACATCACTAAAATAAAGTGGCACCCACTATTTCACGAAAAGTAGCTTTTAAACTAGCAAACATTTTCAAATTAGTTAGTTTTATTTATTTGTTTTTTCATTTCACTTTGTTTCCATCGAACCTTGTTTACAGTGTTTGGTGGTAAAAAGTTGCTTTTTCAACGATACTAGTGAAAATAAGAAGAATAAGGCCCGACGTAGTCGAATGATCAGCGTACTCGGACTGTCAAATCCGTGAGTTCACAGTTCGGGTCTCTTTGTGTTACGAGTTTTCAATCGGATAAGTGTACCCAAGAGTTGGCTGCTAGTGCTATTCTCTAGTTGACTTCGTTGCTGAATTAGAGACGGCTGTATGGAAATAACCAATCCCAATCCTGTTTGAATGTGCACTAATTTGTTAGATGTACGTGTGTTTTGATATTTTAATGGATAATAGGAGACATCTTCTTACTATAATGGACATAGCGTGTGTATATATATATATATATGTATCTATCTAGGTGTGTGACCGAAATAATAAATACAATGTGGCGCCATCTAGTGCATGGCACACAAACAAAATTCCATAAAACATTCACACTAGGTATTCAGGATTCAGACAGAAAAATAATTGTGATAGTGCAACAACCATTTCTTTATCACAGAACATAATTTTAAATAAAAGTACTCTCCTCACAACAAAAACACGACAGTACCTAAGGGTTTGATTATATATTTACTGATGTAATTTGTAAACATTGTACTAGAAAAATGGAGTTTTTTTTTTTTAAACTTATTTTTTCAATAAAGGGTACCACTTTTAATATATAAAAGCATCACAGTTTATATCAACACAATCCGAACACTTTTCCCGTACAGTACTTCCCAGAAATATAAGTTTTTTAGAAAAATTTCCTTTTTTTCTTTTCTTATGAGGTGTGAATACTACGATTAGTACTAACACAAACAGCCACCCTTAGGGTGGCGTTTCTGCTAGTACACATAATTATCAAAAAAATTAGTTTGCGCTAGACACAACGTACGAACGTCAGTTATTAAAACCTAATCCTTATCGACAGGTGGTCAATTACTGATAACGTAGTAATAAAATCAGTTCAACTTTGTTATCTCCACCATCTCTGAAACGATATATGTTATGCCTAAAGCTGATTATTCTTGTATTATATCAAAAATAAACTTTCTGCCAATATTAGATAAAATCTAGTTTATTGAACTGGCCTAGAAGCGGTTTTCGGAAACAAAAAAACAATGTTTACGTGGGATCCCTAAAGTCAGTTGCCATTGCAACATTGCGGATATTAACTTAACTTTTACAGTATTGTTGTTGTTTTCTGAGCGTGTAGAGATAATCTGTATCCATTTTGAGGGCGGACACATTGAGTACTTTCTGTAGGCACATAGTCTCTCGCTGTTGGCGTTTGGGTTTGTTTGTTGTTGTTTTTTAATTTCGCGCAAAGCTACACGAGGGCTATCTGCGCTAGCCGTTCCTAATTTAGCAGTGTAAGACTAGAGGGAAGGCAGCTAGTCATCACCACCCACCGCCAATTCTTGGGCTACTCTTTTACCAACGAATAGTGGGATTGACCGTCACTATATAACGCCCCCACGGCTGAAAGGGCGAGCATGTTTGGTGTGACGGGGATTCGAACCCGCGACCCTCAGATCATGAGTCGAGTGCCTTAACCACCTGGCCATGCCGGGCCCTGGCGTTTGGGACACCCTTTATCTTGAGCGAAGCAGTACTTATTGTTACTGTTACTCGCGTTTAGTATATTTTAATCATTTATAGATACTATACTATAAAAGAAGGGCAGAGCACTGCAACCACTTAATTCCTTAACGATCTCAACAGGCCCGGCATGGCCAGGTGGTTAGGGCGCTCGACTCGCAATCTGAGGGTCGTGGGTTTGAATCCCCCCGTCACACCAAACATGCTCGCCCTTTCAGCCGTGATAAAAAGATAAAAGAGTAGCCCAAGAGTTGGCGGTGGGTGATGATGACTAGCTGCCTTCCCTCTAGTCTTACACTGCTAAATTATGGACGGCTAGCGCAGATAGCCCTCGTGTAGCTTTGTGCGAAATATATATATATATATATATATATGACACACACACACACACACACACTAATATA